CTTACATACATGCTTGACAAGTCTAAGTGCTCAAAAATTTTGTTCCAGTCAATAGAGTCAAAGAATGCGTTAAGGGCCGCAAGGTTTGCTTTAGCATAATTAAAGATGTATTTGGGTTCGCTATGATCATTTTGGTACATATAGAATGAAAATTGGAGTGCAATTGCTTTATGATGAACCGATTCACAGGTTAGAGGTACATCATGTCTATAAATATTAAAGGCAATGTCATTATTTATAAAGACTAAATCTAATATTCTGCTTAGGTCACAAACGTAAGTCTTCAATATCCCTTTTAGAGGTAAAAGGAGTTAAAATGCCATCTTCAGGATTTATTACCCATTGAATAGAACCCAAATTAAAGTCACCTAGAATTCATGGCGTTTGATAGGGTTGCAAAGAGTCTATAATAAGGCTAATATTATCAATATGTGACTTATATATGTCGTAACCATTATTAGGTGGGATGTAACTTACAATAAAAAAGATTTCATTTAAACTATCGCGATGCGTTTCACCCATATTAACAGCGACACAGATTTGCTCGATGTTATCGCCAGTATGAAAAGGTTTTACCTCATGACTAGCAAGGGAAGATGACACTGCAGTCAAAATGCCGCCACCTCTAGTTACTCCAGCCTGCAGTATTCGGTCTTTACGATAAACTTCATAGTAATCGTCCAAAATCTCTGAGGATAGAAAATCTGCAGTTAGTCGAAATCGTGTGTTGCAGCTGATTGGTACAGAGCATTTGTTTTCGTACGCAAACCGCCAACATTATGAAAATAGACAGAGAGCTTAGAATTTCTGACAAATGTATCCATCAGCGGTTTGCTTCCATCGGGGCCGTTTTTTGAGAAAAATCAAATGGGCGAATCTTGACTTCTTCTGGCCATAACTCCGAGTCTAATAGGTTATTGATGTAAGACGGTGGAATGCCGATTTTGAAATTAACCCGTTTAATAGATTCGCTTGGAGCATCCTTTTTTATTAGCTTATAGCAGGATATAAGATTAGCATCGATATTTGCATGCCTAGCAATATAAGCGGAAATGTCTTTAGTTTCAACGGAGGGTTTGAACGAGCTTAAGTGAAATCATTTGAGGCGAACAGCAACATCAAGTTCGCAGTTATAACATGTCCCCACCAAAAAGTTAACCATCTCAAATCGAACTTAACCACATCACTAACTATTGCTGTCCATACTGCTATTTGAGGTTTATAAAGCAGCATGATGCAATAATACAAGGTGGTATCAGTTTTGACAGCTCGATTTGACACTACTTAGCTCAGTAGAATGAGAAGAAAAACGGGAAGAAATGAATCCCCATATAGGGGAAAAATATAAAATTTCACATTTTCTCCTAAACAAATTTTGCTTTTTTATAGTATATTCGTTATGAAATGAAATAAAATAAGATAAAATAGCTTTTTAAGAAAACAAAGTGTGTATACTGAGAAAAAATTAAAAACATTCAACTATATTAATGGGCAAAGAATAGTTAAAGAAGTAACACTGTTTCACGTAAGGCAGTCAATATGGCGGAATTAGAGCGAGAAGTTGCCAACTGATAACACCTTGTATTATTGCATCATGATAAAGCAGTACAAATGTAGAGAACAGTGTTCGGACCCAAAACTAGATTCAGGACTAAAAATCTGAGTAAAAACAAATTTTCTTTACCAGACTGAATTTTTTATTTTCGTTTCTGACATTAATTGTTTGACTTAAATATTTTCTATTCATGCAAAAATAAGAACGCGAGGAAATGTAAGGATAATATGTTAAATATTTAGGTAATATTTAGCATTTTCTATAGAGTAGAACCTTTATAACACTTAATTTTTTAAAGAGCAATAGGATCTAAACCTTTTCTACTTTATATAAATTTTATTCTACATATATTTTTTAACAACTTAAGTATAGTTCTGCATCCGCGTTACAGTTAGTTATAGTTCTGCATAGAGTTACTTTTTAACAGTGAGTTTTGGCTAACTTTCAATTTTTTTACTGAAACCGGTGGTGAACACTCAAAAACGGCCCAAGAGGGGCATAACATGATGCAAAAAAAAAAAACGGAATAGATTTGAAGTCAAGCGGAGTAGAGGAGTAGATTTCAAATTTTTTCAAAAACCAGAGTAAGTCTAATCTGATTTAGTGAAGTCCAAACACTAGTAAGGAACGACTTTTTTACATTTTAATGCTAATGTGGGTCCATGGCGGGAAAACACAGAGTTGTATCAGACTTTCGACGTGGTTTCGAGTAGGTTAGCTTTTAACCATCTCAGTGAAATGGTTAAGTGCTGTCAATTTTATATGGGAAACTACGCTTAATGAAGTGTGCTATCGGGATAACCAACTCAACAGCCATAACTACGTGGTTAGCTCCGGTGGGGACATGGTATTAGCGTTCGAACCAACAACGATGTCACACGTTTTGTCACTTCCGTTTGCCTTAGCATTTTTCTGACTGTTTGAACGATTCTCAATTACACCAGTGCCTTCGTTTAATACAAGAACTGCTTCAGCGTCGACAGAAATTGTGGACTTGATACGTTATTAGAGTTGCTGTTGTTTGCGACTTGCACATTTGTCGAACAAACAACGTCACCAGAAGCACAATTTGCCCGTGAAGCATTGTAAGAAGGCGAGACAACAGAAGCGACAGTTAAGTCATGCAAATTAGGAGGACGATCATAAGAGTTGTTATTACATGCACTTAGGCAGACACTAGAGTTCGTTGAATTTGCAAAAATGCGATTGGCAGCATTAACATCGGTGGTTATACCCTTGGTGTTGTTGTTGGCAGGGTTATATTTTGATTTATTAATATTATCAATTTGAGTTTTAATGTCTTTAATTTGCTTAAGCTGAAATTAGTCAAGAAGGTAAACCTACCGGTACGTAAACCCGAGTCAGCTGACACGAACTGTCTTACCAAAGCGCCATGTAAATGAAAACTCAACACCGCAGAATTTTTCTGTAGTTGTAGTTCGTAGCGCAGAAATCTGCGGAATTTAGATTTTTCCGTGTCAGCTGATTTCTCCTTCTTTAGATGGTTGCCACATCGTCAGTTTTGCAGATGGTAAAAAGTTATAAGTTCCTATTCAAAATACGTTTAAAATATTTGAAATGTACTATTGAATAAGGTTTTTTGTTAAAAACTAAGTAGTTTATATTTAGCTACGATCTATTATAACACCAAAAATTGTAGTTGAAAGGGTAAGTTTATGAAAAGGCATTGAAGAGTGGCAACAGTGTAGTAAGCAACACTGAGGGCTCCAGTAATCGAAAAAATTCTGCGTATACAGACTGCGTTTAAGTATACGTTCTGCGTTCTCGACTAATTTCAGCTTTAGGTAACTTATTGAATTCCCCCCTACGGGACAACTGAGTGATCACTGATGAATCATCTAAGTATCAGCCTTGGAGTATTAACCCCTCAGATTATACATCAGGTTTCTACAGCGGTTTTGAAAAATCTAATGGATTCTTTCCTGTAGGTGTGATTTTGCCTCTCATTTTAACATGTGGGTTTTAGCCGTATTTGTAAATATTAGCACCATATGTTTGCACTACTCACTCGCCTTATTTAATCAACTCAGCTCGTATGGAAACATTCCTCAGATCTTACCAATAAGAGCTGATGGACAATTTTGTCAGGTATTAACCATCATAACTGATACAATACTCACTAAGATCTGATGACTCAGTCTGATGTATAAATCAGTCAGATCTGATCAATCAAAGCTGATGTAAATAATAGTCACGTATGATTAATCAAATTGATATATAAATCAATCAGCCCTGATTAATCATAACTGATGTAATAAGTAGTCAAGTCTGATTCAACAGATTGATGTATAAATCAATCAGATCTGATAATCTGCAGCTTAGAAAGCGGGCCTGCTGAATCAAAAAAACTATTTTAAATTTTTTTCATATTTCTGTGTATTTTCACATACAAAAATATTTAAATAACTTATAAATAACTACACACATCTGTAAAAGAACTTTATTTCGAAAGAAAACGACAGTATACTTCCATTCTAATAGCCTTATTCATAAAAAATAAAATTGCTTTACAAAAAGTTTATAAATTGAAAAATGTATGAAAACGTCAATTTATAAAACTTTTTAAACCTACTTTATTTTTTATGAATAAGGCCATAAAAGTATAAAAAAAGGTTTAAAAAACTAGATGAAAAGTCAAAATTTGTTACTTATTCTATTAACGTTACCATATTTACAAAACAATAAAAATAGACGAAAATTCAAAATGTGTTACTTATTCTATTACTTTTTTATGGTTTTCATACATATTTTAAATATACAGTAAACCAAATGAAAACTGGGCGCGACATTTTTGCAAGTTTTGGCCATTTTTCTTTAGTTAATTTAATGTAAATTTTTTTTAATAAAGTATAGCTGATTACTTCACATATAAGTTCAAATTTCAGCCTTAGAAAAAAGTTCATACCAATATTTTAATTAATTACAGTCATGCGAAACGACATGTTGGCCAGTTTTCGCTATTTTTCCATTGTTTGTTTACTGTTTATTATTTTTTTTTAGAAATACAGCTCATTATCTAACAAAAACAATACAGGTCCGAATTTCAAAAGTTAGAAAAAATCAACAAAATGTTACAACAAACTTTTTATTAAGATTTTCTAGAAAAATTCTAGGTATGCAATTTTATAGCCTATTTTGTATGACAGAAAATAATAACACCATCCGCTAAAAAAATTATCAAAAATCAACGCGAGTTTATGGCTACTTGAAACTTGCACTTTCTTAAGCTAGAATTTAATAGGCTATAAAACTGCATACATAGAATTTTTCTAGGAAATCTTAATAAAAAGTTTGTTGTTGTTGTAACATTTTGTTGATTTTTTCTAATTTTTCTACAAAGTTTGAAATTCGGACCTGTATTAATTATGTAATTATGTAATTATTATTATAATTTAATTGTAATTTAATTATTGTAATTATGAATTATTTACATACATTATTTTTTGTCGCTTTTCTTGGAGTCGTATTTTTTTTGATGAAGACGATGATGACTCCGCTCCACTTGCTTTTTAACCGCGTGCTCGAACTCCTTGGAGGTCATTTTATTGAAAACGTCTAAATAAGGAAGAAATGTATTTAAACGAATGCATTATTGACACTATTATTTTTTAGTTTACCGCGCAAAACATGCTCAAATAACGTTAGTTCTCTCAAGGCTTTCTTCTCCCACCTCCCTTCCCAATTAAATTCAGCCAAGGACTCATCGGTGAAAAGCTTTTTGAAAACGCCGCCAACGTCGTCCGATACGCCTTTGACTTTGTACAAGTATGTGGTCTATTGAAAGGGGGTTGTTTTTAATAAAATCAGTTAAATTCGCTATTATTACTTACCATTGCTTTCACATACTCCTTGGCCTTTAATACCTCGATCGGGGTATATGCGGAGCAGGGCAACATGCTGGCAATTTCATTCATAATTTTGTCACATGCATCGCCCGTCATACGACAAACTTCCTTTTCTATATTTTGCACCGATACCGTTATTTCGCGTGCTGATTTCGCTAGAGCGAGAAATTCCGCGTTTTCGACTGCCTGCAAAATCGAGTACTCATATGTTCATAAATTCTTATTTTTCACAAAACAACACTTACATTCATTTGGAGTGATATGAATTTCTTCTCCAGCTCCGCCTGATTTGTTGACAACTTTGCTTGCTAAAATAAAAAAAATATACAAAATATATATATTGTTTATACATATGTATGCATTTATTATGTATATATATTTATGTACATATGTATTTATATGTATGTATGTATGTATTTTATAAAAAAAAAACAATATACAAAAAAACTAACCAACTAACCAAAAAACAAGCCTGGTATTAATACAGCTTTTGTAAAGAGTGAGGTATTTCAAGGACTTACGTTATTGATGCTTGTCTGCAAAGTATCCCATATGGCTTTTTGGTTATTAAGAATGATGTCCAGCTTCGCGTTTATATCTTTAATGATTTTCAAGAATTAATATTAAAATCGTAAGTGTTAGTTACATAGTTTTTTAAAATAGGCACTTACCATCACTCGGAGAGCAAACTTGGCTTACACCTGCCGCTTCCTCTTCTTAAACATTGGTGTCCAGCTTCGCGTTAATATCTTTAATGATTTTCAAGAATTAATACTAAAATCGTAAGTGTTATTTACATAGTTTTTTCAATAGGCACTTACCATCACTCGGAGAGCAAACTTGGCTTACACCTGCCGCTTCAACATTGGTGTCGTAGCACCTCTTCTTTATAAGGGATTGGCCCACTAAAATAAAGAACGATGGAATTATGTGATGAAACATTTTTCATACATTCCACTTACTTTCGACTGGAGACTCCTCACAAAACGACTCATCAAGAATATTGCTTGAATCCATGTGCATGGTTCATATTATTATCATGGATCATATCATACATATTATTATTATGGTTCATATATTATATTATATTCATATTAAATGGTAGCAAAAATTTAATTTAATTTGAATGTGTAGCAAAATTGGAAAAGTCGTGAAACAAATGGTGTAATAAGGTTATGAGCAAAAACTTTTCATTAAAAGGAATACAAAAGTACTTATAAGTAATTTCATTCCTTAATATTTCCACCGTTTCCGAGGCTAAAACACTTGTAACCACTATTCACAGACCTGAAGACGAAGTAATAGGTTCCAAAAAGAAGCTCTCGATTTTCTGAAAATATCTACACAGAACTCTGTCTGATTCTCCTGATTTTGTGACTTTTATAACTTTGATTGGGCCTTTCTTCTCACAAAAAAATAGCTGTATTTCTCTTTTTTATCATCCAAAGTGAATGAACCAAAGTCATTCAAAGTTTTGAAATACATTTCTGATCCTTGCCGTTCTTGAATCCTCAGAAACAATTGCTGGAGTATATTATGAGGATTTTTAATAATTTTTTTTAAAAGCTGCATGAAATTTTCATATTTGTACGCGGAAAACGAGTCTAATGGACCTAATTCATCAACAGAGTCAGGCAAGTGGAGTAACCCATGAATATTAAAACTTACTTTCTCATCGCCATATAAAGTTCCAAAAAAAGTAACGAAATCTTGCAACATTTTTCGGGCAATACCGGTCTCTCTTCTACAGGACTTTTCACTAGAAAGAAGTCTAATAGCACTGTGTAATAACAGGAAATGATAATAAGAATCTTCACTTATACAATCCTTTAAAACAAATATTCCAGTGTAGAGCAAAAACTGTCTAAATTCAGTTGGCTTCCAATTAGAAACTTCATCTAAGCTCCTGGGAAGACGACCAAATTCAGACGGAACAAATTGTGCGACAAAAGTAAGTTTATCATTGATTCTTTTAATATTGCATTTTTTACCCGTAATAAACAGTTTCAGCAATTTCTTAACTGCGCCTAAATCCACCAAATGCATGGAATCGAGTGGAAATTGGGAAACCATGCCGAATCCCGCTTCCTCTAAAACACTTTTTGTTTCCTTAAACTGAGTAAGGTGATGAAAAGTACTGGCTCTCATTGCGAAGGACTTATCTGACCTGGGTAGACCAACCTTTTTCGGAAAGCAAACTCTTCTCTCCTTATAAAGTCCTTCTGCGCTACACTTAGGACATCCGTTTTTTCCATTGTGACCTATTACTCCTGTTACATAAGCCCTGGCTGGACAATCGCAAATAAAAACACGAATATTAAATGGTTTTAAAACTGCCATGGAACCCACTTTAATTCCGTTTTATTTAAGTGATTTGGCCTCTGTACAAAAATCACGCATGAAGTCGTTGATGTTTTTGGGTTTACTTAACCCAGAAAAGCAACCAATGACAAAGGGGCTAATACGCGGGAAATCCGAAAGAGATCCTAAAATTGGCCATAATACTCGGTTAGAGCTCTTGAACAACCTAAGTCCATCAATACCTATGTCAATTACAATTTCTTCCTTATTGGCTAAGAAATTTAAGCTCTCTGACATGAAATAAGTTTGAACTCCTAAATACAAAAACTCGCCATTAGGTATTTGTATAACAGAAACCTTTTTTCTACTGGTTCCCATAAGTGTTTTGGCTGTCATTGGCAAATCGCGATCACCTGCCCTATGCAATGTTTGCAGAAGGTCGTCCACGGCAATTCGGGATATATTATTTCTCATGGCCCAGAACTTAATTTCGTAAGCTTTACTAAGTTCTGCAGCTTCTTCGCCCTCACTCTCGTGTAAATAGAACTGTTCCTGCTCGCTATCACTATCAGCAGTCAATTCCCTATGGGGACTTGGACATTTATCCTCACCCTCACTATCACTGACACCAACACTTAAGTCTTTTTGGGAACTCGGAAGCATAAGTACGGAGGGACATTCAATTATATTAACATTTGCTACACATTCCATTGCTTGAGTACATTCCAAAAGTTCTCTAAATCTTTTCGCATCAGATTCAAAGATCCTTTTTTCCTTACTCACGCAATTCTGGAAATACCTCTTTTTCATATTATTTAAACAATTGTTTATACCATGCACAATTTAAGATAATTATCTTCTTATTTTCAGCTATATTCCACCTGGGATTTGATTGGAAAAAACACAAAACTTTCCGAAATTCTTCGGCGATTTGGTAAAATTTAACATAAATACTTCAAAATGGCGGGCGCGTTGCTTTGCGAAAATTTTAGTGATGAGAAATTTGGCTCTGAAAAGTATTCGGTATGAACGAATTTGGTTTCCAAGTATTATTTTTTTGGTTTTGTTAATTTTTTGTGGTGCTAGTTTTTATACTCAAGACAAAAATGCAATTTAATTAGTTTTTTATTTCAATTTTCGATACAAAGCAAAATTATTTCCAAGGTAAAATTCTAAAATAAATATCTTAAATAGTTCACTTTACATAGTACTCGGATATATTTGGTATTTTGAAGGTAGCAACTACTTTCAATCAGCATGAAATGCAACTCTGTGAAATTAGCTGAAAACAGTCGTAGTACATTGTTGCTATCTCTTTCTTTCAAATTTTGAGGGGTTTCATTCTCGCTAGTACACAGGATTGAACTAATATATGTCCACACGATTGAGAGAATACAAAGGTTGCGCCGATCTCGGACCGCTATTCCTCTCTTAACGAATTTGACAGAATCGTAGTTTGCATGACGTCACACTTGTGCAACTTGTTTACGTTTTCCTTGCAACATTTTTTCTTCTTCTTCCATTCTTGCTCACGTTTTGGCATTTCTCTCTCGCAATTGCACCAGTCTGACGTCACACAAAAGTTATTCTCAAAAATCCTCTCTGATCGGCGCAATCTTGTATTCTATCATTCTTGATATGTCCATACTTGCATTTGTGTTAGTTCACTGGTGTGCGTGTATTAGTTTCCGTCAGGTTTGTCTAGTAGGGCCGGTTAAAAGCCATAATAATCGAATCAAAACATCGAATCAGACATGTCCATACAGTCATTACACAGATAAACAATATTCCGGTTCTTTTTAAAAAGATTCATATCGTATTCAGATATTTGGCCTTTAAGACACGAACGGTGAAAACGCTTTTTACAAAACCCACTGCAATGTACGATGGCAGAGTCATTTCTTGTGAAGGCTTTGTCACAAACCCCACACGAATCCTCCATTCTATTTGGCAAAAAATAAACCTCAAGAGCTTAACATAAACACTACTCATAAACTCGGACTTTGCCATACAAATAGTTTTCGTTTAACTCGCCTTAAACACCACTTTTATTTGGAGTTAAAGCGCAATTCAACCATTTTTTTATCGAATTTGATTTGTGTCTTTGATAATCCAAACCTGCATCCCAAGACCGATAGAATACAAAATTGGGTTGATTGATGTGAAATTCGGGAGAGTAACGTGAATATGTCGTCATCGCAGATTTGCCGGTGGAGAGAGCTGAGAGAGATCTATCAGTGTGTATATGTTTTGCATATGTATATGTATATGTGTATTAAACAGGCAATACACAAAATCTCCTATGACGTCATATCTCTGTCAAAATTTTCAAGAGAGAGTTAGTGGCTTTCCCATGACACCCCAATTACGGAGTTCGCTCTCTTATTCATAATTCGAACTCCAATTACCCTTCGAATTACGTAATTCGCCATACAAAATTTTGAGAGCAAATTATCTCATTTGATGGTAATTCAGATCCAATTACCAAAGAACGTAACGCCCCTGTTGCACACTTTCGCTACAATTATAACGAGTTGTCGCTTCTTGTTATCTACGTTCTTTGCAATTACCATGCAAATTACGGACAAGTATCGGAATTTGTTGAAACCAGCTCACAAATCAAAACTGGCACTTTTTCTGAGTGCGAAAAGTAAAGTCTATATATATGTGTGCATCACCAATTTAATACGGAAACTTATACATACATTTTTAGCAATAATTTGCATTTTGCATAACTTTTGTAGCGAAGAAAAAAAAACAAAATACAGAAATAAAGAACTGTCAAATCGTCAAATGGAATTAAAAATGCACACGTGGGAATGGGGTAATTCGCGATCGTAATTGGAAGAGCGAACAAAGTAATTAACGGTGGCGTGGGAAAGCCGTATTATCCTTTATAACACTGGAAGATCATCTAACAACGCGTCTTCACAGTTGAGAATTATTGCCTACCATATGTCATTTTGTTTGCTAAATATGTATAAGTTTTATCAGTGGCAATATTTGTGTGTGGGCATTTTTCATCTTGATAAAAGTATTTGTAAGATGGCTTAAAACAAGTATGTTCGTTGCATTGGACTGCAAATATGCTTAAAAATGTTTAGAAAATGTGTTATTTCGCGTCCAAGTACATAATCAAAAATAACACAGGCCCAGCGGCGGCTACAGACTTTTTTTGGGGGTGTTTTCCGAGAAATTTTCCCACTTACAGGTCTATTCTGCACTGATAATAAAAAGTTTGTAACCGGTAAATAAAGTTCCTGTAAATTTTTTTTCGTATTCTGTATACTCTTGTAACCGGTAAATTTTGTTACCATCTCATAAGCTGGTAACAAATTATTGCCCCGTGAAGTATGAAATGCCAGGATTTGCACAATTCTCCATAGCTGAATTGCTGAATATTTTAACTGCATTACCAACGTTCCTATGTAGAATCGTGGTGACAAGAACTGGTAACATTTTTTGGTGATACAATTTTCCGGTTTAAAACATCTTCGGTAACGTGCAGAATAGACCTGTTAAGGGCCGTTTACATACGACTTTTGCTTCGCTTTGCTTCATAATTCAGCTTTGACAGATAAGTTCAATACACGATTTTATACGAGTCCTGCTAAATAGATGCGAGGAAAGCAAAACGAAGCAAAATCTTCGGCAACTCTCAACTTTTGCGCGCTTTGGCAATCAGCCGTCTACTTGGATCTTTTCTCGTGCGCTTGCATTTAAATTTAATGACGGAAAATAAGGAAAATAGGAACTATTATTGCTATTATTAGTGCATATTATTATATTGTTATCTAATTTACAGATATAAAATATGGAGGATAATGACAACGCAAAAGCTGTCAAAGCGTTTATTGTAGCATACCTTCTACGTTTCACGCTTTGTTGTCAAAGTTCGAGCTGTCAAGCAAAGCGAGAAAAGTCTTATGTAAACGGCCCTTTATTCTTATTACTTTAAACGAGTAATCCTATATATATATATATATATATATAGGTATATAGTAGGGTCATCCTTAATAACTAACCTTGCGAGTTTATGGCCCTAACATGACCTTTTTAATGGGAAGGAAATTCTCCCATTTGGAAAAATTTTTATTTAAAAGGTGTCGGTGGGCATTTGAAATTTTCTGTGTAAGTAACATGCAAACAAATTTGTTTTCATTAAAAATTATAACTTTTAACCGTTAAAAAAAGTTATAATAAAGGGATACACGGTTTTTCTGGGCATATTCTTGTAGGGCATTAAATTCTCTAAAAGATGATCCTGAAATTCGTTGTCTTAGAGACGATTAAGAGTAATAAATATGTTAATGATATTCCTGAACGAGGTATAGCGTTGATACAAAATTATAATCGAACTTTGACGAAAGACGAAGAACAAACGACTTTTGCAAGTATCACAATGAAAATTAAATAATTTCAAAATAAATAATCAAAACTTTTTAATATGTGGCGGTCTTATAATTATACAATGCGATGTACTATTAACTTGTTTGACTTGTGCTTAGAGAAACTTTGAATTGTTAATTTATTAGTTATTTATGTGTTAATATAAATATAAAAAAAAAATTTGTGGGTTTTAATGTTGAAAAAGAGAGTGCTAAAAGTCGATTTTTTGAGCGGGTTCTACGCCGTCTTTCTTCTAGAAAACCGAACGAAAAGTAAACAAAGCAAAGAAAACACGAAAATCCAGAATTAACTAAATTTATTGTCAGCCATTTTAAACACACAATTTAGTTACAATGATTCATTAAAATGCTTTGAAACGAGTTGTCATGTTGAATAAATTCTTCTTTACTTAAAGAAAAGTGTAAAATAGGGGTGCCTGTGATGTAAACAAATGCTCAGCTGACGAACCGGCATTCACAAACTTTTTTCTCAAAATAAATTACAAGAACATGGTCGCGTTCTTACATGATTTTGTATTTTTGGTTCATGATTTTACCCTATTCGAACAGTAGCGCGATTCAGTCCATAAGAGCTGACAAATTTATGCAATTGCAGAAATATGCCATGGATTGTGAGCGACCTTTATTAAACTGTCATGGTAAAACTTTTGCAAAAGAATTTCACGGCTGATTCAAAAATGGTTGCTAATAAACGTCAATTTTTTGTTGGGTTTTTCTCTTTTTATTTTCCTTTCAATAATTC